ATTTTTTAAATTATCAAAAAAAGCCAATTTATTTTTTGGGGAAAATGAATGCAGGGTTTGAACTTAAAAAAAAAAAAAACACAACAAAACAACAGTGTTTTGTTTTGTTTTTTAAATCATTTGAAATAAGATTAAAAGGTACATGGTAACTTGAATTTTCAAAGGGATATATATTATCTGAGTGTCTAACTGTATTATGCTGTCAGAAAATATCACACAAACCTACAATTATTTATAGTTCTTTCAAGCTACAAGGTTAAAAAGGGTCTGCAGGTTACCTTCTAGAAAGATTCATGCCAAAAACCAAGAAATGAAATATTGAAGAGGGTTTTGAACTAAAGTTTCTGGGCAAGGGGAAGCTTAATCCATCCCACTCCTACCAGTTTGATACCATTGCCAGCAACAGATGCCCAGAGCCTGGAGAAGGATCACAGGTCAGCAGGAGAGCACCTGAAGAGAAGCACAAAGGAGTGCCAGTCACTCCAGCCAGTAAGTCAGGGGGTCCAACGTAAATGCCTCTATGCAAATGCACATAGCATGGGGAATAAACAAGAGGAATTAGAGATGTGCAGGGCTATGATCTTATTGCATCATGGAGACATGGTGGGACAGCTCCTATGACTCCTATGACTGTTGGAATGGGAGGATACAGCTCTTTAGGAAGGACAGGCAGGGGAGATGAGGAGGGGGTGTCACCCTCTATGTCAGTGGCCAGCCAGAATGCATGGAGCTCCACCTGGGGATCGATGAGGAGCCAACCAAGAACTTATGGGTCAGGATTAAAGGGAGGGCAGGGACAGGTGACGTTATAGTGCGGATCTGCTACAGGCCACCTGTCCAGGAAGACCAAGTGGATGAGGCCCTTTATAGACAGATAGGAGCAGTCTCAGGTACACAATCCCTGGTCTTCATGGGCACTTCAACAACCCCAATATTTGTTGGAAGGGCAACACAGCAGGGCATAAGCAGTCCAGGAGATTCCTGGAATGCTTTGATGATAACTTCCTTCTCCAAGTGATAGAGGAGCCAATGAGGAGAGGTGCTAGGTTGGACTTGGTTCTTACCAATGTGGAGGAGTTGGTGGGGAATGTGAAGCCCAAGGGCAGCCTTGGCTGCAGTGGCCATGCAATGGTGGAGTTCAAGATCCTTAGGGCAGTGAGGAGGCCACACAAGAAGCTCACTACCCTGGACTTCAGGAGAGCAGACTTTGACCTCTTCAGGGATCTGCTTGGTAGACTACCATGGGATAAAGCCCTGGAGGTAAGAGAGGCCCAAGAAAGCTGCTTAATGTTCAAAGATCACCTCCTCCAAGCTTGGGAGCGATGCATCCCAACAAAGAGGAAGTCAGGAAAAAATGCCAGGAGGCCTGCATGGATGAATAAGTTGCTCCTGGAGCAACTCAAACACAAAAAGGAAGCCTGCAGAGGGTGGAAGCAAGGACAAGTAACCTGAGAAGAATACAGAGAAATTATCTGAGCAGCCAGAGATCAGGTTAGCAATGCTAAAGCCCTGATAAAATTAAATCTGTCCAGGGACGTCAAGTGCAACAAGAAAAGCTTCTATAGGTACATCTGTGATAACAGGAACACTAACGAAAGTGTGGGCCTTCTCCAGTAGGAAATGGGAGACCTGGTTACCTGAGACATGGAGAAGGCTGAGGTAGTCAACAACTTTTTTTCCTCAATCTTCACCAGCGAGTGCTCAAGCCACACCACCCATGTCAGAGAAGGCAAAGGCAAGGACTGACAGAATGGAGAACCACATGTTGTAGGAGAAGACCAGGTTCAAGACTAAGGAACATCTAAGGAACCTGAAGGTGCACAAGTCCATGGGACCAGATGAGATGCATCCACGGGTCTTGAGGGAACTGGTAGATGAAGCTGCTAAGCCACTATCCATCATATTTGAGAAGTGGCAGTCTGCTGAAGTTCCCACTGACTGGAAAAGGAGAAACATGACACCCATTTTTAAACGGGTGGAACTACAGCCCAGCCAATCTCACCTCTATGCCCAGCATGATCATGCAGCAGATCTTCCTGGAAACTATGCTAAAGCAAATGGAAAATAAGGAAAATAAGGATGACAGCCAACATTGCTTCACTAAGGGCAAATTGTGCCTGAACAAATTTGGTGGCCTTCTATGATGGGGTTACAGCATTGGCAGATAAGGGAAGAGCGACTGACATCATCTACCTGGACTTGTGCAAAGCATTTAACACTGTCCTGCACAACATCCTTCTCTCTAAATTGGAGAGATGTGGATTTGATGAGTGGACTATGGGGTACATGAGGAATTGGTTGGATGGTCACATCCACAGGGAAGTCATCAACAGCTCAATATCCAGATGGATATTGGTGATGAATAGTGTCCCTCAGGGGTCTGTGGTGTTTAATATCTTCATCAGTGGCATAGACAGTGGGATCAAGTGCACCCTCAGCAAGTTTGCAGATGATACCATGCTGACTGGTGTGGCTGACATGCCTGAGGAACGGGATACCATCCAATGGGACTTGGACAAGCTAGAGAAGTGGACCTGTGTGAACCTCATGAGGTTCAACAAAGCCAAGTGCAGGGTCCTGCACCTGCATCAAGGCACCCCTCCAGAAGGCCAACCTTATCATGGGTTGCATCAAAAGAAGCATGACCAGCAGGTCAAGGGACGTGATTCTCCCCCTCTGCTCCATTCTGGTGAGACCCCACCTGGAGTCCTGTGTCCAGCTCTGGAGCCCTCCGCATAGGAAAGACATGGTCCTGTTGGAGCAAGTCCAGAGGAGGGCCACAAGAAATGATGAAAGGGATGGAGCACCTCTCCTATGAATACAGGCTGAGAGAGTTGGGGTTTTGAAAAGAAGAGAAGGCTCTGGGGAGACCTTATAACAGCCTTCCAGTGCCTGAAGGGGGCCTACAGGAAGGCTGGAGAGGGACTTTTTACAAGGGCATGTACTAATAGGGCAAGGGGTAATGGCTTCAAACTGAAAGAGGGTAGATTTAAATTAGGTATAAGAAATTCTTCACTATGGGGGTGGTCAGCACTGAAACAGGTTGTACAGAGAAGTTGTGGATGCCCCATCCCTGGAAGTGTTCAAGGCCAGCTTGGATGGGGCTTTGAGCAACCTGGTCTAGTGGAAGCTGTCCCCGCCCATGGCGGGGGGGTTGAACTAGATAATCTTTCAGGTCCCTTCCAACCCAACCCATTTTATGATTCTATGAAATCTCTGTTCTAATAGTAGTTGTCATAATTTTTAAAAGATTAAAATTACTTGAGAGTTTTAAAGAAGGAATATCACTATATACTAAACAATATGTAGGTATACATGTCTACAAAATCTTGCAGAACACAATATAGACTGAATATGTTAAGAATAAAATCATTTACACATAAGCTAATGCTGCTTGACCAAACAACAAAGGTTTCTGTTTCATCAAGTTTTTTTAATAAAAAGTTTAAGTTAAGTTCACTATTAATGTGAGGACAGAAAATTGAATGGGAAATTCTCAATAATTTAAGGCCACTTTGGAAAAATAAGCTGAAGGAATGGTGGAGTTGGAAAACAGTAAGGACCAATGGGCATCAAGGCAATGAATAAAGCCAAAAGACAAGAGAGGTGAATGCCCGATATGGAAGTTTCACAAGTAACATGAAGTGATTTTAACCCTAGTGAAATTAATCCTGAAGACACAGGGTTATCTGTTTTACCATACATTTGCACTCTGTTATTATTCTTTTGAGTGGGACAAGATCCATCCTCTTACTCAAATTTTTGGGCCCTGAAAAAAGAAAAACTTGTTATGTTTCCACTTTGACTTTTTCTGAACTCCCTTTGATTAGAGACCATACCACATTGGTGGTCATCACTAATAAACGCCTTTACATCTACTCTCAACAAAGGACTGACAGGAGTTTTAACAGGGGATAATGATTTTTAAGATAAAAATCTAATGAGTAAGATTCTCTGGAAGAACCCAAACCATTACATTACCTTAAAGTTTTTAATATAAATAAACAAACACAATAATTTACTTCTTACACCCCATATACAATGGTCAAACTTGTCCATATGGGCAGCTTCCTGAACATGATTTCTGCAACATCATTAGTGGTTGATAAACCTAAATGTCTTTGCAAATATAGAGAAGGGCATTTAACTATGCTTTTCTTTAGCAATTCATTGTAAACACTGCTGAGCAGGTAAGTGGGTAGATATATAATGTTTAGGAATCATAGTAAAATTGAATTATGATTCCATTGGTCTATACTGTTTCGCACCAGTTCTGGTGAGAGAAGCACAAGGACGGATATTTGTTTTTCTGTGATTGTCATATATTCTCATTAGTCATCCATATAAATTGCAGGTTAGTATTTAGCAGTACACATACATGCACTTCAAGAAAAAGCTTTCTAAAATGTCTCTTTCTCAGTCTATAGATGTTTCATTAAGTTTTAGACTTGACCTTTTACTATTTACTTATTTCTCCACTTTTGTAACTATATAGAGAAAACTTTGTATTTTTTACATTTACAAATGTAGCCTCACTTGGTGACGAAATTTTGAAGGGTGTCTTTGTAGTATTCAAAAAATCCAACAACCTAGAAACACCATTAAAGAAAAAATCTGGGAGTCTTTAACTTGACTTATATATTCTGTAACAGCTCATAAAATATCAAAATCTGGGTCTGATCCTATTAAACAGTGCTGTCCTGATTTGACCTTAAAAACACCTGACTATTCCAATCTCTGGGGCAAAAATCTCAAGGATTCTGCTACAGTACAAGTAAGGCGAGTAATTTATAGAAAGTAATGTATTTTATATTTTGTGTGGTAGAAGTTTGCGGGGGTTTTTTTACTACTGAGAACAAATTGGACTCTACCGGTGTTTTGGATGTGTATGAGTCATTAAGTAGGCAGTATATATTACTACAGAGATATTTGCTTTCAAAAAAGACTTAATTATTTTTGAGAATATTTGATTTTAAAACAACTTTTTGAACAACACCTACTTGAGGTCTTGGGAAGGTTCTGCTCTGATATGGGGTGTCTCCACAGAGTGCCCAAACACTGCCCCTTCTGTGCCTAAAATACATAAATAAAATACAGTACAATTACTTTGGAAAATAAAAACACATTGAAACTTATGACTACAAATTGACATTTTTAGGACAAAATATCTGATTGAATCCTTCATTAATGATTATCAAAGTTTCTTCATATTTATGTTTGTGTTTCTATATCAAAATCTGGACCGACATGTGAAACTTTAGAACTCTGCTTATCAGTAGATGAATTTCGCATACAAATCTGAAAACATTTAGAAATACAAACTTTTCAGCACTGACTTGCCTGAACGCTCATCTCAACGCTTTGGAGATGGATTGTTTTACAGATAAAGAAAAGAATATCATATGTTTGTTTGACAAAAACACATTTTAGAAGTGTCTACTATTTTTTGCATGACGTTTGTTTTGATTATTTAAATTGAGATGCCATGCTTTCAAAAGTTTTGAAATAACAGTCTACCATCTGAAGTTGCTATCCTGAATCTCAATATCCGACAGCTTCAGAGTTTCCTTCCATCAGACCTTTCTCATTGAAAACTTCGTTCTCAAAGAAGTTAAACAAACTTATCTGGAATGTCCTTTGGTTTTAGTGTTGGTTGTGGATGTTCATGTATCTCCTACTGGGTACTCAAAATCAATACAAAGAAAATGGGTAAATATTTCCTAAAAATGAAATGATTCTCTACTGAATTTTAATTTCTATAACTAGGTCCAAGGTGCATATAATTATTCCACATTTTGAATTACATGACCAAGATTTTTCACTGAAAAAATCCTTTCCAATGAAAAAATTAGGGTTCTGATAAATGTTCACTGAAGTTATTTGAAAAAGACAAGTATTTACACAAACCATTTTTTGAAGGCAATGATTTTTTACAGAGAATAAAAAAAGACAAAAAAAAAAAGATCTGATTACAGCAAGTTCTTTGGTAATATATTAGAAAACTCAAGAAACTGACATGTAGTGAACAGAACTACAAAATCAGTATTTCTCTTAACTCTTGGACACAAATATTGAATACATAACTGTTATTGATATTACTCAATTTACATTTAAAAGAGAGCAATAGCCTACCTATGTTGTTTCAAAAGTTTATGTCTTTTTTTTTCCATGAACCCTATCATCATGTTTATTTTTGTTTATTGATATGTCCAATGCCATTATTTTTGTCTTCCATTTACATAAATTTTAGTGGCTTTTTTTTTTTTAATAATATCCATATGCCTGTAAGCTTTTACTTTTCTTTTCTGAAGATGTTGTACTGGGCACTGTGCAATGAAAATAGCCTAGAACTGTTGTGTGAAAGTCTTTCCAAAAGACAACCACCAGTAAAGATTAAAGAACTGAATAAAAACATGTGTAAAATGGGTAGTACATTTACCTTCTGTCACTAGATATAAGATCAAGGAAGTGATTTGAGATAATTATAGTTGATTACTAAATAATCTGGAATTAATTGCTGTATTTCAACAACCAAATTTTTCTTGTATTCTGAGTAAACTTAAAAATATACCAACAATATCTCACAGTAGCTGTGTAAGGAGTGCTCAACAGAACACAGGCACCACTGTAATTCTTACAATATTTTAAATATAATAAAGTTTATTTCAATTATTTAATTATTTTTATAAATATTTCACAAGTATTTTCAGAAATTTTGGCTGTTAATGGAGACAGACATTTAGATATTTCTGCAGTTAACCAATAATATTTGGAAAACTGATCTTACCAGTATTTGAAAGCAGAATGAGGCTTTAGAATATTTAATTGCTAATACCATTTTACAGCATTAAAGCGAAAATGTCCTGAGCAAGAAGCCAAAAGCATCTAATTGAACATGAAATTAAATTACTGCCAGAAAATCATCATTGCTAGTAGTCTTTTAAACTCCACTTTCATTTAAAACGAACAAAACAAAACAGAAAACAACCCTTCATTGTAAAATACTCTACTGGTATGGAGTATCCAAGAGAGGAAGAGGGGATTTCTGAGAGTAATGAAGTAAAGTCCTAGGTTTTTATGTCCAGAACTCTACAAGCTTTACAAATATCTTGGCAAAGCATACCAAAAACAATTTCATTACAACTGCTGTTTTGAAGTTCTCACAAGAAACCAACCAAATCCACTTCCTATAACTGAACTTTGGTGAGAGTTATGGAGAACCACAGGAGGGGAAAAAACAGCATACCTTTTTACTTAAAAGTATTCACAGAGGAGCTGTGCAGAATCTGCTTTTTAAACCTGGTATTGCCTTGCAATTCTGCTACCTTTAAGAGACAGGAATAGCATGTCTGTATAGCCAGGCTTCCTGTCACTCAAAATAAATCTCACCTCCACCTAGAACGGCATGCAAGAAATTCTATGGGAGCTGAACATCAGAAACCAAAGATTGTGCTTTGAGATCCTGTTCACCTTTTTCATCAACCAAATTAAATACTATCAAGTCCAAGGGCTTTTTGTGTGTTTGAAGGTGACAATGGGATATGGTGATGTAAATAACTGAGCAGGCTGCAGAATTTCCAGTCTTTACTTATGAGAAGACCACATGTTTGAAAGAACAGAACTAATGCAAAGATGCATAAAACATGACTGTAGCATGGGTCAGACACTAAATCAATCAGAAGTGCCAAAGATAATATTAGGCAAAGACTGATAACAAAAGATAAATGACAGGTGGTTCTAAGCCAGCATTAATATTTCCTCACTTTCAGCAGCATTTGTCTAAAAGATGAGGAGGTGTTTCTCTCCTAACAAAACAGAAATTTGGAAAGAAAGACCAAGTGTGTCCAAGCAGACTGAAAATCCAGGCAGGTAGAAATAAGGATAAACTGATATAATAAAATAAAATAAAACCACAAAACAAACCAAACGTGCTCCCTTTGCTATTTGAAGATATAATTCCACATACTTTTTTTTTCTTCTCATACAGCCTCAAAAGTGAAAGTATAACAGTTCTTGTGGTAAATACTTCATCCTCAAAAAATATGCTATCAACAAGTTCAAGAATATCGCCAATTCCTTTTATTTTATACTGGAAGAAAAGCAGGCACTTACAATTTTCTTGGTTTTGAGTAAGAAAGGTGAAAAAGATCAGCCAGACAGAATTTACTGATGTGTTTGGCTCAACTCTTGTTTAACTGCAGTTAAACAGCAGGATCCAGAAAAATGGAAAGGGATTGTACAGCAAATAAAAGACATGGATCAGTATTACTTAAAAATACAGAACAGAAGAAAAAATATAAGAAGGCATTATTTATTTTTTAATTTACTATATGTGAGTCTGTAGTGCTTTAATGGAAAGTTAGATCATGTAGGTCAGTATTGCTTAGGAAATGGTGCTACAAACATACCGTTCTGTGAATAATAAATACAACAATATAAAACAGGAATCAAAGTGAATAGTGTCTTTTTTTTAAATGAAAGAAATATACTTCAGGTATTTAATAATCTATAATGTGAAAACACTTTTACAGAAATAAGGCAAGGATCTGTTAACTGTATTCCCTGACTTACAGAATCATAAACAAGACCTACATTGAAATAAGTAAAATTCTAGAGAGAGATGAATGAATACAAAAAAAGAATAAACAGAAAAGACTTGAACCTTCAAGTCCTTTCAAGTGTGGCTCAAAAGCAAGTAGGTAAGGAACTGAATTCAAAGGAACACGAGTAAGATTGGATAGCTATAAAAAGTGAACTTTTCAGAGGAAAAAAATAACAAGGGCACGGAGTATGTGCATAGGATGTAAAATCAAAACTGTAAGTGTAACTGAGTAAAATTACTCCCACCTCCAGCTTCCAGGGGAAGAGAATGAGTTAAGGAAAGACTTTGCTGAGAAAGAAGCATCTGTGAAGGCAAACACTGATCAAAGGACACCAGTCGCTATAGAGGTTGCTGGAGAAAATTCAGTAAATGGCATGAGTCAGGCAAAAAGGCCAAAAGTCCAATTCTGTATTTATAGAGAAACCTCTTTATGCATAGCAGATTTATAAAAACCAGACCTTTAAAACATATTTTTTTGACACAGAGCAAATACAAGTTACCCTTTCGTTACAAGCAAAACTAATCACATGTTCCTGTTGAAACTGAATATTCAGAATCAAGAGACACCAGTGTAAACTACTCATTTCTGCTCCATATACTGCTTTCTGAAACTCAGCCTTTGGGAAATTACAAGTTTCATAAAAACAATGGAAGTACAATGTTGTTATTTGGTGCCAGATTACATTTGCTTATATACATGTGTGCCGAGGAAATTTTGTCATTTATTTAACCAGCAAATAATACTTTCATAATTTATGAGTTAGCTCACGCTACACTGGTACCTTTCAGTGACTTAATAACTGACGAGCATGAAAAGAACAGCACCTGACCATATTGACTAGTAGAGCTAATTTTTTTGTAAAAATAATGCTGACTGAAGAGTTGAGCCAAGAATCAAAAACTAACTATTTTGCTGTGACAAATGAGCCATATATTAGCATTATCCCACTCCCGCACATCGATCTTGTGTGATTCAAATCACCTCAAATGTACTGACCATGGAATTGTGTGGCATTTTGATGTGTACAAATTATATGGCATTACAGCTCCACAGGCGTAGCTGAATCTTACTGCCTTGATCTTCCTCTAGGTTTTTCAGAAACACCAAGTAACAATATGATGAAGTACTAAGATTATGCAGGTATTAGACTGTAATGCCAATTTGTCCTCTGAGTTAGAGAGTTTAAAGAAGAGTTTGCAATTTATCAGTTTGAAGCTTGCAATTTTATTTACTGCAAACTCATTATTAAATTAAAACATCCACAGTCTTCACAGAGAAATATGAGTAATTAATCAAGATTGCTTTATCATTGAAGAGACCTTGAAAACATAGACTTTATGGTCTAAAAGTTTAATTTCCTTAAAAATCCACAATTCTTAATTTTTTTTACCATGTGTACATAGCTAAAATTTAAAAGTGTCTCTGTGAGATTAGATAGCTGTTGTTCAACACTAAGACCTTGGAAGAGCT